GTGTGGCCCGCGGAGGTGCAGTGAATTGCCTAGGTTACATGTACACTCAGCCCTGATGAGCAACCACCAACTTCCCGGCCCTTTATTCTACTGTTCACCGTGAATAAAAACTCTGAAGACCAACATCAACAGGGGCACCCTAAAGCAGGGTTCTTAGAAGCTAAGAGCAGGCCGCATCAGCAGCCCCTGGGCACGGTGGCAGGAAACGCACCATCTGGCCCCCACCCAAGACCCACTGAGTCAGAAACGGAGGCAGGGGACCCAATGAGCCCAGGGGATTCTGACGCACTATCAAGTCTGAGGACCACTGAGCAAGAAGTTTCTGCCCAAATAGAAAAACTATTCATGGGGCCGGCAGGTGGCATGGAGGTTAAGGGCGCTGGACTCTCACATGGCCGACCACAGTTCAAGTCCCGGATCTGGTGGCTTGCTTTCTCACTTTCCCTTTTTCTCTCTTTTTCACTATGTCCCTCTCTGGTCAAATTAAAATAAGCAAATAAACAAAAGTTAAATAAAATAATTCTTTAAAATAAAACCAACTATTCATTATCTAAAGATGATCAGTTTCCCCCCAGCACTTGGAAAGTAATTTCAATACAACATTTAAGTACAATGCTTCAGCCATACAATTGGAGTTGAATGTTACTATTTAACACAAAGATGAAATTAAATTTAGAACTTAATGATTTCTCCTCAGAACTCTTACCCATCGTTTATATATTTGTCTTAGGTGCATTTGCAGCATGGAGAGAAAACAGAAGACGTTATGAGAGAAAAACTGTACAGCACTCCAGAAAAACTCAAGCAGGACAAGGGGGAATAAGAATGCTTCTACTTGAGGGAAATGCACCAGCTTCATTAAATCTCAGCACTAACGGTTAGAGCATTAATTTATATATTATTAAGCAAGAAAAAAACCACAAGACAGTATTAAGACTCCATCAGTTCTAAGGCCAACTTCAATTTTAGTGTGAATAAGCTGGGGTTAAAATGTGACTGTTAGAGGGACCAGCAGATGGCATAATAGTTATGTCGCTGGACTGTCATGTAGGTGACAGCAGTTCAAGTCCCGGACCTGACGGCTTAAAAATTATGCCTGGTACGTATGCGTGTGTGCCCAAAATCCCAAGCGAGACTGGAGAACGGACTCCAGCATGACCATCCTCCCGGGGGGTGATTCCTAGCTTTCTATCTTTGTCCCTCTGGTGAGCACATGCACCCTATAACACAAATCTCTCTAAAAAGTGACTGTTGGAATTGATGAAATATGGGGTGTGTGAACATTAAAGGCACTCATGTGTGTCACGCTTTATGTGAATGTGGTGAAATCCAGTACACGTGGACGTAAAGGCATGTGGGGAAGACCTGAGACCCATCTGACGAATCTGCTGAACGGCAGCAGAGGCCCGGCCGTGGTGGTGTGCCCCGGGACACTGCTCGGCAGGCTCAGCCCGCAGGGGCCGGGACTCCGTTTCTGGTCCCCACCCCGGGCACAGGGCAGCACCTGTAGCCCCAGCAACTCGGGATGCTGACAGAAGAGGGCAGCAGGCTGGAGGCCAGCCTGGGAGCACAGTGGGACCCTGTCAGGGAGCTGGGGTGGTGCCGCGTGCCGGGGGCCGCCACTGCTCAGAAGGCTGGCAGAAGTCGGGATACAGGGAGACACTGTCTTTGAGGAAAGAAAGAGAATGGCACCAGAAAGGGACTTAAAAATGTGACAGGGAAGGAAAAAAGGTGACTAAGCTCATTAGACTTTCAAGCAGTTAAAGTAATTAAAGCTTAGCAGAAGTCAGGTGTGAATACCAACCTTTGCAGTACAGTCTATCATTGGTTCTCCTTCAGGCTTTAATCCAATGATCTAAGATTAAAAAAAAAATTGCTGATTAATATAAATGCCCCACACGTATGCCATGACACCACCTCCAGGGGCCCAGGTAGAGACAGAGATTAACACTAACTCCGTGTATTAACCCAGCTGTATCTGCCTTTTAATTTTACTTTAGGGTTACATAAAAATGGGTCTTTCAATATAATAACCTTATCAGTTAGCCCTGTTATTGCTGGGGCTACTTAGAAAATAGATGAAATACCAAAGGACTGACTGAGACACAGTACTGTACCTTTGCTACCTTTTGTTTTTGGAGAGGTTTCTGCTATAGGGAATGTGCGCTCACCAGAAAGAGAGAGAGAGACAGAAAGCGAGAAATCACCCCCCAGGGGGGATGGCCACGCCGCAATCCCTTCTCCTTTCTCCTCTCGGGATCTTGGGCATGCATGCACACGCGCCCGGCGTGAGTTTAAGCCACTGGGTCTGGGCCTTGAACCTCAGTTGGCTACATGGGAGTCCAGCGACATAGCCATTATGCTAACCGCTAGTCCTCCTTTGCTACCCTTAAAACAAGAAACAAACAGAAGCCTTTAAATCAAATTATTCACGTGAGCAGTTACTTACACTGTGAGAACCACAGGAGCACCCCGTAGTAACCTGCTGCTCTTGGTGATACCAGGTTATGTCTCCAGCAGGTGCTTCCATGACGCCCCAGAGCCTCGCTCTGGCTCATAGTCAGCTCCGTGAAGGTGCACCCTAGGAAGAGCCTCGAGGCTCTCAGCACCATCCGGGCCCACGCGTGAGGCCCCCAGAACAGGTGTAGCTGATGCAACACCAGATGTATGGCTACAGGTGTTTGCCTCTCTACTTAGCAAGTGCATTTTGGGGCATTCTACTAAGTTTATAGACAGCTTACATGGGAATGCTTGTCAAATAAATATTCCTTTCAAAAGACAAGCATCATAGGGAACCAGCAGTTAGCGTAATGGCTATGTCGCTGGACTCCCACGCAGTCGACTGTGGTTCGTGTCCCGGACCCGGTGGCTTAAAACTCACGCCGGGCGCGTGTGCGTGCGTGCCCAAGATCCCGAGAAGAGAATGGAGGAGAAGGGATTGCGGCGTGACCATCCCCCCTGGGGGGTGATTTCTCGCTTTCTGTCTCTGTGTCTCTCTCTGTCTGTCTGGCGAGCGCACGCGCCCTACAGTGAAAATCTCTCCAAAAAAAAAAAAAAGACAAGCATCATGGGGCCAGCAGGTGGCGTGGTGGTTGAGGGCGCTGGAGTCCCACATGGCTGACCATGGTTCGAGGCCTGGATCTGGTGGCTTACTTTCTCACTCTCCTCTCTCTCTCACACACACACTCTGTCCCTCTCCAGTCAAATTAAAATAGATAAAGTTAAATAAATCTTAAAAAAAAAAAAAAAAAAGACAAGCATCGTTGCAACCTTTATGTTAATATCACTGACAGCAATATGGAGCCCTGCCCTGCTGACTCGGGAACTACACTGGGATCAAACTCCCCGTGACATGGGGTGTGGACATCTCATCACAGGCTCCTGTGTGTGTCTGATGCTGTCCTGTGAACCCTGGAAAGTCATGCCCCCTCAGCAAGTACGGTCTCAGACCCTCATCATTCGAAGAGGCCACCCTGAGAAAGAAAATAAGCTCCGAAGGTGGCCTTGGGAGATAGGGCTCCTCCCGGCCTCCTGAGGGAGCAGACTTTCAGCAGCGCACGTGCTGCGGAGACTCTGAGCGGGATGTGATCACAGCAGGCATTTCTGCTCAAGTGGACAAGCTCGATTCGTCCTACGAACTAGACGATCTAGCTTCACGTCACCTTCGGCGCACTTCAACCTCAGCGCTTAGTCAAGTCCTATTAAAATAGCTCGATAATCCTTTATTTTGGCAATGTCAGACCATGTTCCCGAAGCTCTCTAGAGTGCTAAGAGACACCCCGGAAACTCATCGCCTACCACCTTCCAAGGGAACGAAGGAGGGGCTGGAGCAGTAGCAGTGTGGACTGGACCCTTCAGAGTCTAGCTGGCTCTACCTGTTGGAAAACTCCAACTCCTTATTTTGCAATGCTGGTCTCAAAACACCCAAGTTGTGCTTACTAAGGCTGGGAGTGACCTGCTTGGGAATGGTACCTCTAGTGGCTGACAAACTCTTCACCCTGAGAGGCCTGCACATCCGTTCAAGGAACTGTCCTTCCCCGAGGGGACGACCAGGACTGACTTCTCGCTGAGGGAGACCCCGCGGCCCTGGAAGGCTAGCTGTGCCAGAGCATGGCTCTGCAGCGCCGCCTGGAGAGCTCGGCCTGGGCCCAGCATCACTGCATCGCAGAGGAGCCGCACGATGCCCGAGTGCACCACTGCCTCTGCTAACGCTGCACGGCCTGGCAGCCCCTTCAGACAACACAGCAAATGCTGCGGCCACGGCCCTGACGGTGACATCTCACTGCGCTCCTCTGTGCTTCACTAATTATGTACAGGCTGCAAACACGATCCTCACACTCAACAGTCAGAAAAAGCTAAATGAAGCAGGACATCACGGAGTCACCAGGACTTAATTTTAGAACACAGGACTCCAAGATGAACCCTGCACCTTAAACGAGGCCACACTTTGGGTGTAACAACCAGAACACTCACTTCCTGAAGCATTCATCTATGCAGAAATGCAAGGAGACTTTCCACGTAGGGATCGGCAGAAGTGACCTTAACTCCCTAATCTGTGATTAACCTATGAACCAGTCTTCTTTTGCTGTATTAATTTTTCTTCCTGGGACCAGCAGATGGTGCTGGACTCCCACATGGCTGACTGCAGTTCGAGTCCTGGACCCAGTGGCTTGAAACTCATACTGAGCATGCGTGTATGCCCACGATCCTGGGAGGAGAATGGAGAAGAGATTGCACTGTGGCTACGACTCCCTCTGGGGGTGGGGTGGGAGTGGGATTTCTCACTTTCTGGGAAGTGCACCTATTCTATGGCAAAAATCTCTCTTAAAGAAAAAAAAAAACAATAGGGGCCAGCAGGTGGCGTGGTGGTTAAGGTGCTGGACTCCCACATGGCCCACTGCGGTTGAGTCCTGGACCTGGCAGCTTGCTTTCTCACTTTCCCTTTCTTTCTCTCAATCTGGTCAAATTAAAAAATAACAGATAAAAATAAAATAAAATAAAATAAAATAAAAATTAATAAACCTCTTTCACTTCAATTTCCTTCCTCCTAACGATGAGTATATATCACTGCTAGCCTACTGAACAGGCGACCCTTCAGTGAGAGGACACTGAATAAGGAAGACATGAACTCGCCAGCACAACTCAGAAGTAGCTGCCAGCTTCTTTACAGAGGGTATTGGAACAAAGCAGCAGCAGAGGGAAAACACGTACGTACTCTGTTCATTTTCACGAGGACACAGGGTTTTCCTTGGGGATAGCCAAAATTAGGGTCGTCCGTACCACTGCATGGCTGAAGCAGCGTAAGAGGAAACGGACACGCCACGTACACTGGGCCCTTCTGTTCAAACAGCACTCCGTCCCGACAGCCTGTGACATTCTTCTGCTCTTGTGCCATGTATGCTAAAAAGGAAACACACGTATGTGCCCGGTCAGCCAGAAATGGTACTGAGTCCACCAGGAACGCTCATCCTTGGGGCAGTGTTCTCCAAAGACGAAAACAGCACTGCTACCGAGAATGACGACAGCTATCTGGGACTCTAGACCTACTGCATTTCAGCACCCACGCCATCTAGGTGACAGAGGGTCGGTCTCTCCTGCCACCACTGCGGGGACAAACCATGGCTGCCATGCCATCTGAACGCCTTCTGTGTGCTGGGCACCAGGCATTGCCACTGCCCTCAGGTCTGCCAGTCTAGCAGGGAAGACAGACGCTGAGTGTCAGTCCCTAGGTGTGGGGCTGCAAATCACAGCACTGACAGTCTACACTAAGGGATGCAGCTGCGTGGATAGAGGAGGGGTGGGGCGTTACCAAGGCTGGGAGGGAGCACGTCAGAGAATGGAAGGCAGAGACCAGGTCACACGGTCCAAGTCACGGTAAAGAATTCCAGGGCTTTGGACCAGCAGGTGGCGTGGTGGTTAAGGCGCTGGACACTCCCATATGGCTAACCATGGTTCGAGTCCCGGGCCTGGTTGCTTGCTTTCTTACTTTCTCTCTCTCTCTCTGGTCAAATGAAAATAAATGAATGAATAAATAAAATTAAATAAATAATTCTTTAAGAAAATAATAATATATTAAAACAAAGAATTTCAGGGGTATGAGTGGATGTTCTATCAAAGAGCAATGACAATCTACTAAAATGCTTTAATAGGGGGAAGTGGCAAAGGTGGCCTGACCACACTCACGTCGTGCAAGTTAGCTGACTGCAATGTGGGGAACAGCCCAGAAGGGGCAGGGATCTGAAAAACTAGAAAGGGTCTTTGAAAAGTTCATGGAAACGTGTACTATGAAAAAACTGCATGTGGATTTACAATTATGACTTAATTAATTCCATCTGTTATTACTATTTTTTTGTTTGGAGAGGTTTTTGCTATAGGGCGCATGCACTTGCCAGAAAGACAGAGAGAGACAGAGAGACAGAAAGCGAGAAATCACCCCCCAGGGGGGATGGCCACACCACAATCCCTTCTCCTCCATTCTCTTCTCGGGATCTTGGCCGCGCATGCACACACACCCGGCGTGAGTTTAAGCCACTGGATCTGGGACTCGAACCGTGGTCAACTATAGGGAGTCCAGCGACATAACCATTACGCTAACTGCCGGAAGTTTGAAGAACGCTAGGGATGTCTGCATGCCCACAACCTGGGGAGGAAGGAGAGATGGAAGAAACGGAAATGCGGCGTGGCCGTTCCCCCACAGGTCATGTCTGCTCATGTTCACTTTCTGGCAAGCACACGCACCCTCTGGCAATTTACCCTCCCCCCAAAAAAGTGATAAAAGATTAAGTCCCAGAGGGTGGCTAGGAGCAGCAGGTCTACACCACAATCAGCACAGAATGCAGCAGAGGGAAGGGCTCTGGGAAGGAGCTTCCCAGAACAGACTTGGGAATGTCTCAGAGGAGGTTACGGGATGGGCCAGGGGAGCGTAGCTCCTGCAGAGAGCAGCGGAGCAAGGAGCCGCTCCCAATGCTGAGGCTGACCGCAGCCCTCGCTAGTGAACTGAGCTGAGGCCCACGAGCTAAGTAAGCGAGTGTAAGAGCCAGCAGGGAAAGCATATTTAGAGATACAGAATAGAAACAAGAGAAAATGCAAAAGCATGATGTTTTTTCCTACTGAAAGTGTATCTAGAATTCTGTTATTTCTCACGATCTCCACTGCTCCCTCCCTTGCCAAGTCACCGTCTTCTCTGACCTGGATTACGGAAACCCCCAGCCTCTACTCTCAAAAAGAGGCCTAAGTGATTCTTTAAAATGAATTGGATCTGTTATTCCTGCTTAAAGCCCCCTATCACCACGGGAAAGAACGGCAGCGAAGGGCCGACACGATCAGGTCGTCTGGTAGCTTGGACCTCAGGCTCTCCGCTCCTCTCCTGCTGGCCTACTCCACCCAGCCCCTCGGCTTCCTTGATGAACCCTGAACACGCCATCCGAAGCCTCAGGGCCGCTGTGCCCACTGCTTCCTCTGCTGGATACTTCGCGGTTACTTCCCCACCACCTTCAGATCTGGCCTCAAGTGTTCCCGAACCTTCCCAGACTACCCTGTTTGAAACGGCATCCCTTCCCAACTCCATCCCCTTTCTCTACTTTAGCTCCCTCTTCAGCACTTACTACCTCAAACACACTGTTAGCCGGTAATGTCCATCAAGGAGGACTATCATTCATTGCTAAAACCCAGATAAAATGTTTGCCCCAAACAGGACTGCAGCCAGAATGGAGAAGGGAAGGAACGCATCTCTCACTGCACGCCTCTGCACTATTTCATTTTAAACCTGGCTGACATTTCTGCAAAATTTCTTGAAATTATTTAAATATCAAGGGAAAGAAAAAGAGATTTAGGAGACAGCCAGTAGATATGTGGGCTCAAAAGGTTTTTTGTTTACGATAAGAAGCTTATCTTAATGATGTCTGCAAGGTGACAGGAAGGGAGGCCCAGTACACACATGCGCACACACACCCGGGAGAGTAACTGGCATACTGTTTCCGAGACAGGAGAGGGATGGGATCCAAAGCAGAAGTGGTGCAGTGGCCTCGGGGGGAGGGGGGGCGCGCGGAGAGATGGCACAGTCAAAGGGCTGCAGCTGTAGGCTGGTTTCACTGGTAGTGGGGGACTGGGGGAGTCCTCATCTGAGTGCGTCTGTTTGCTTTTGCTAAGAAGCTAGGTTACATGGAGAGTAATGGGGAAAAAGGTAAAGAGTTCGAGGCTTGGGGCCAGCAGGTGGTGGTGAGAGTCCCGGACCTGGTGGCTTGCTTTCTCACTTTCCTTGTTTCTCTTCGGTCAAATTTAATGATAATAATAATAATAATAAATAATAAATAGGGTTAAATAATTCTTTAAAAAAAAAAAAAGAGTTAGAGGTTTGATATAACTCCTTCAGAGAATTACTCGGAGAAATCCAATAGCACTGTCTGTCAGGCAGGCCCACTTGGGAGAAGGGATGAAGGGTTTGTGGCACTAATACACCCCCTTAACTGTGTGCCTTCAGCAGCACCTGGCTGCTTGGGGCAGGCCCAAAGGACAAGCTTTATCCAGGAGTTCCATGGTTTGTCCCAGCAGCAGAGTTCTACCACAAGTAGACTATCACAAATAGACTGAGGCAGAGATCTGAGGTGACTGGCCAAAGTAAACGTGAAATTAAAAACCGCGGCGTTGATAAGTCAGGTGAGCCGGCCAGGTGGTAGAGAGCTGGTGATGCGACTGGACCCGTCAATTCTGCGTCTCAGTGAACTTAGTGCACGTATCACAGGACGGGAAACTCATGTGGACTGTCTACCGGCCTGGCTGGGGTCCTATCGGAAGGTAGAACACTTTCACAACTAATCATAAAATCTACTCGTAAGTTGAATCTAACTCTTAGAATAATGTTTCCAAAAATAATCACAATTTGGTGCTCATTTCTATAACGAAAAATCTTTTACATTATTCTTAGAAAACACACTTACGCTCTAGAAATTTCTTCAGGTCTTTGATGTACCCTTCGTAGGATTTTGGATTAGACATGCTGAACGAATACTCCAACGCGGTCACTGGTTTTGGAAACACCGTAAGTCCTACGGAGGGAGACAAGGAAAAGGGCGGGGGGGTCACTGACTACATCAAACGTGCTTCTCTCCTTATTTTTATCCCTAGAAAGCACATCTCAGTAAACAATATGGAAAATTATGTTCGCAGTATGCATTATTCCAGATGTCCAGACAAATATTAGCTGTAAATAATGAAAACCAATAGAACAAACTGTTGCAAGAAAAAAGTGGTTGGGGAAATTGGAACCTGAGCCAGGCCCTCGACGGGAGCCCCTCAGTTTCCACCCTGCTGACATCTGGGGCCAGGTAAGCATCTGACGCGGGGGTTGTCCTGTGCATTCTAAGTCGTTCACCGCCAACACCGCCTCTGTGCACAGCAGCACCTCTTTGGCTGAAATAACCAAAAATGTCTCCAGATGTTGCTGAAGGACCTGAGGGGGGCGATCACCACTGGCAGAAAACTTCACTGCCCCGGAGAAACCAGCTGTCAGCCACTCCCCTTCCCACGCCACCTGCTCTCAGAGCCCCTCCTCCGGGCAGAGCCTTCCCCCATCAGCTCCAGCAGCTGTTCCCGCTGGGGGGACTTATATCCAGGGGAGTCCTGAACGTCACTGTCTTCGCTCTTCTCTACTCAGCACCGTGAGGACAAGGGCTGTGTCCAACGGTCAAGGCAGAGCTGGCCTTTCAAGACTGTTTAAAAAGGAAAAACTCAGGAGGCTGAAAACGTGATTTAAATAGGTGATTTGGTTAAGATTTTTATTATACTAAAGCATATTCTCCAATATAATGAAGATTTAAAAAAAAAATAGACAAGAACTAAACATACAGAGTGTAACTGCTACGTGTTGTTCATAAAATCATTCACAACTATAAACATAGTGCTCAAACTTGGCTTTGCTAGAATCCTCAATATTAATTTCTGCTTATTCTTGACAAGACTCAAGACTTACCAATACGTGAACTGTGAAGGTGTTTAAATCAATACGTAAATATCAAACAAAATATCAGAACTTTCACATTACCCAACTCCGGTCTCTCTTCTATCTGTTCTACAAAACAGACTGATGGAATAACCTATAACCCAATGTGGCTAAAAGCCACGGTCAGCATAATTACCTGGACTAGGGATCTGGTCACGGTATTTCGGAACCTCATCGTTCAGCGTCTGAAGCATAACCCACATTGTGAATGAGAAAAGTGCAGCCAGGAACCCATAAAACACTAGGTAGAAGAGCAAGATCAAACCTGCAAAACAAAATAAAACTTAGGAGATGTGGAGACACGCGTATTTGTGCACACATGTGCATGTACATGTGTGTTTCATCAGGTTAAAAAACCCAGCTGTTCCCTGCAAGGTTACGACCCCGAGCTTTGTCATGGACACAGCCAAATATCCCTGTGTCCAGGGGAACCTTGCAGGCAGCACCCCCCACCCCGGCCCTTCCGAGCTGAAGTCACTTCCACTGCTCATACTCCAGTTCGGTGTCAACGCTTTAGAACTGCAGTGCGGGGGAGTGTTTCCTAAAAGGGACCTGATGCCCTCTGAGCCGATAAAAGACGCTTTTAGTTGTTCCTTTAAGTGGCAAATAGAAAAGAATTAGTCCAATAGACCAATATTCCACAGAGAGTAATTATCTGCATGAATTTAAGTTTGAAAGTGAGTTGACTTAATAACAGAAAACGTGAAGAGGGCAAAACCATCAAGATGGGACTTAAAGTGTAACGTTTAGGAAACACTGGGCCAATGGAAGGGCTCGCATGGAAGTGGAGAACGCAGAAGAGGTGAGCACCCCCGGGCAGACTCTGCTCTGCGGCTCCACTGCCCACTGCAGGGCTCAGAGCACCGGCAGGCGACACACGGTCAACCCCCAGCTCAAGAGCTTTCCCTATGACAGCGAGGCCGAGCCAACGATTTATGTGGGGAACACCTAAGATCAACGATTTCTCCAAATGTCTATATTCCAAGTTCTAGCCCATTATGAACATAGAATAGAATATACTGTTCAAGTCACTCATTTAAATTTAAACGTTAAAAATTGATGAAAGCATATTAAATAGATCCTGATACAGCCATGGTGTAGAGCAGTTAACGCCAGAGCTGCTATCGGATCAGCTTTATCTCCCAGGCGTAGTATCCTTTTGGCCTGCCTGACTCTCTTCCTAGCAGAGGGGCCACAGCACCCCCTAACTTGGACTTACGGACCCCAACGGCCCCCACAAAGCGCAACTTCAAAGGGCTTCTGAGGTGCTTGTAATCATTTATTTCTGAATATATGCTTTTCTTCGCTCTAGGGAGTGGCTCTATAACAACCTGATTTTCAAAAGACCCCACGATACCAACAGCTTGTGCCAAACCCAGTCACATTTTACTTTTCAATGGCAGGCCCAGAGACTAGCCGTCCACCCACCCCTTTTCAAGTACAGGGGAAACAGTTAAAGCAATTCCATTTTCGTTTTGACCAGCATCCCACCCCGCCCCTCAATTACCAGGAAGCCAACAGAGAGAGCCAGAGGACAGAAGGAAGAGAGGACAGGTCGCCTTCCGCCAGCATCACTTCCCCACCCCACACTGTGATCCTGCTGCAGAAAAAGAAAAGACCAATCTCAAAGAGGTGATCCGTTTGCTGAAAGGGAAATGAAACCTGAAGGCCCACAGGCCGGCCAAGTGACACACGCGAGAAGTTGCTGGTTCAGCTCGGTGTCTGTGGGCATGACAGGGGAGCGGACCAGGGCACTGCGTGAGTGAGCTGAGTGTGGCTGCGTGCCCGTGAGACCTCACCCAGGACACAGGACACACGACGGCTGGAGCCACTGTGGCGTGTCAGCAGACAAAGGCCTAACGGGGAGCGAATCATCTAGGGGTGCTTCTAAGTCATCTCCAGGTATTTTTATATCATCATCTTTCCTCACTGTTAACCAGAGGGCATGTGCCTGTTAGAGCGAGAGAACCCCCCACCCACGGGCATGGCCATGCCGCAATCCCCTCTCCCCCATTTCTCCATCCTGTCACGATTTTAGGTTCGGATGCACCTGGTGTGTTTTCAAAGCCACCGGGGCCAGGATTTGTGTATGGCTGGCTACGTGGGATCCAGCTTCCTAACCACTAGGCAACAGGTCTGGCCTTGTTATACCATTTTCAAATGTTTGATTTTAGATTTCCAAGAAACATAGTGTAAATGAAATTTATAAAAGTTACAGAACACACAAACACATGGCCCTGGGTGCAGCTCCTGGGCTGACCAGGTCAGGTGTGCCCATCACCCCACTGGCTGGAAGGCTGCAGGGGATCAGAGCCCTAACAAGACCCTGTCAAGGGTCCCTGTCAGGAAAAGAGGAAGAAAAAATAAATTACACAATGAAAGACAAAACAAGTGTTAAAACTTATAAAGAGTTGTGCTGGGACCAGGAGGTGGCTGACCATGGTTCAAGTCTTAGACCTGGTGGCTTGCTTTCTCGCTTTCTCTGTCTGTCTCTGGTCAAATTAAAATTAATTAATTCATTAAAATAAAATAAATAACTCTTTAAAAAAAAAGGAAAAACAGTTGTGCTCAGGCTAGCTGTGGTGGCACGGCAGTAACGCATGCTCCACGACACCGTGGCTGCAAGGAAAGGTCCCCCATTCTCCTATTAACACTGCCTGGCTGAGGCTGGCACGACACCTGGTAGGGTGCCTCTCTCCTGCTCTCAAAGAATAAATAAATAAAAGTACAAGCATGTCGGGCCACCCGGTGGTGTGGTGGTTAAAGTAGCTGCTTCCTACGTGACCAACAATGTCGTTTCGAGTACTTGACCAGGCAGCCCGAAAAACACACTGAGCACGTGTGCGCAACCCCAAAACCCCGAGAGAAGAATGAGAGAGGTGACTGCAGCATGATCGCCTCCCACGGGAATACTCACTCTCTTCCCCTCTCTGTGGCAAGCACACGTGCCCTATCACAAAACTGAAAAGAAAGTTCTGTTCATAAAATACACGATTGACAGCTATGTCCCCAATCGGATGCCATATACTAGCTACCATTAGAGACAAGTTATTTCCAGCACTGAAGAAAGTTTGCCACACCCGAACAAGATCCTTCTGCCAAGATCCAAACTTAATGCTTAGAAATTAAAACTAATCTCACTTACAAATATCCATCAAAGACCCTTCAATAAAGGAGGTGATACTTTATCAATTTAGTCTCCTTTTCTCCCTAAGAGAAAAAATAGAAGAGAAAAAAAAAAAGATTTATCTATTTTTTAACTGCTAGAGGGTTTATGCACTTGCCGAAGACAGAGAGAGAGGGAGGAGGAGGAACCCCCCCCGCAATGTTCTACGGTCAGGCCAAATCCCTTCTTCCCCACTTCTCCATCCTGTCAGAATTTGGGGCATGCAAGCTCACATGCCTGGCCTGTTTTTCAAGCCACCAGGGCTGAGATTTCAATTACAATTAGCCATGTGAAATCAAATTTCTTTAACTACTTGGCTATGGGGCAACAGAAGTCCTAATTTTAAAAAAATATACATTTCATTTATTTATTCATTCATTCATTTTGGGAGAGGTTTTTGCTATAGGATGCGTTTGCTTGTCAGAAAGACAGAGACAGACAGAGAGAGACAGAGAGACAGAAAGTGAGAAATCATCCCTAGGGAGGATGGCCATGCCGCAATCCCTTCTCCTCCATTCTCTTCCTGGGATCTTGGGCACGCATGCACGTGTGCCCGGCATGAGTTTAAGCCACCAGGTCCAGGACTCAAACTGCAGTTGATCACAGGGGAGTCCAGCAACCCAGCCATTACACCATCTGCTGGTCCTGATTTCATGTTTATTTAAAAGAATATTCATTTAATTTTATGTACCTATTAATTTAAATAATTATTTAATTTTATTTATTATTATCATTTTAAATTTTGCTACAGGGCACGAGCACTTACCAGAAGAGAGACAGGAAAAGTGAGAAAGAAAGCCACCAGGTCCAGGACTTCAACCATTGCTGGCTATGTGGGAGTCTAGCACTTTAACCATCATGCCACCTGCTGGTCCTTATTTATTTTTTTTAAGTTTGCTATAGGGCATGTGTGCTCACTGCGGGGATGGGAGAAGGGGGAGAAGAGGGGGAGAGGGAGAGAGAAAGAGAGAGAGAGAGAGAGAGAGAGAGAGCAAGAAAGAGAGAATAAGCCATCAGGTCTAGAACTTGAACTGTGGTTGACCACATTATAGTCCAACTCTTCAACTCCCATCCCACCTGCTAGCCCCAGTCCTGTTTTCTCTTTTTAATTTGCCAGAGGGTGCATGTCTCACCAGAGATGAGAGAGAGAAAAAGAAAGAGAGAGAGATAAAGCACTCCTTTATAGAGGATGGTATGCCGTAATCCCTTCTCTTCTATTTCTCCCTCCTTTCGGGATTTTGGTTACTCATGTACACACGCCCCATGTGTTTTTCAAGATACCAGGTCCATACTCAAACTACATAGTCAACCAGGGGGTATCCGGTCTCCTTAACCACCATGAACTAGCTTGGTATAGTTTTTAAGGAAATCAATTACATGGACAGGTACAACTCTTAAAGCCTTTGTATACTTAAATTGAAATATGCTGTTGAGGCATAATTCACAATTACTCACCAAAAGTATACACAGTTTAATAATTTTAAAAAAGATTTTATTTATCTTTTAAGATTTGATCAGAGAGGGACAGAGGGGGAGAGAGCGAGCAAGCTGCCAGGTCCAGGACTCAAACTGCAGTCGGTCATGTGGGAGTTCAGTGCCCTTAACCACCACGCCACCTGCCAGCCCCACGGTTTAATCATTTTTAGTATATTCAGAGTTGTACAACCATCACAATAAATTTCAGAATATGTACAATGCTCCCCCAATCCATTCTCATCTCTATCCTTTCCCCTCCCTCAAACCCCACAAGGCCTCTGGCAATCACTAACCCACTTGGTCTCTATAGATCTGCCTGTCTCCTAGACGTTTCACAGGAATCACACAATATGGCCTTTTGTGGCTGGCTTCAAAGTTCAACTATGTTGCATATCACTAATCCACGTCTTTTTATTAAGGCTAAATAGTATTCCATTTTATTGATCAGCTGACATTTAAGTTGGTTACACCTTCTGCCATTGTGAATAACAATACACTCATACACATGTTTTTGTTTTTGTTTTGGAGAAGTTTTTTTTTTGCTACAGGGTGCCTGCACTCGCCAGAGAGACAGAGGAACAGAAAGGAAGAAATCACCCCCCAGGGGGGATGGCCACACCACA